AACTGGTTTATAATTATAATCTCTCTCTGATTTTCTTCTATCATGAAGCAATTGGTGTTATGTTTTTAATTCACCAAGCAACTTGGTGGAATTCCTTGCTTTGTGCAACTGAATCCTCGGATTTATTGTTTAACTCGGCCATATTTTTAAATTCTCGGATTTTGCAAGTGATTTTTCATCATATTCTTGCATTACAAGATATCCCCAAGATGCTAAAATTTATATGCCAAATGTTAGCCTGATAGATCCAAGGCTACAATGTTCATGGACTTCGTTTGTTGATTATGCATATGAATCATGTGAAATTTAAACATGTACAGTAAAGCAAAATCATTTTCTGATGCTGTTTCTGATCATTATCTCATTGAATCAATTTCTCTTAAAAGTCTGTTTGATCTTCATTGAATAACACCCTACCTGAGCACATTCTCATATTTTACTTGGTTCTTCTAAAGGCAGTATGTTCCAATATACTGATTAGACACTATATATTTTAGAGATTTTTTATTATTAATATTAATAATAAAAATACTTTTGGTATTGAAAGGTCCTGCACACTTTTGGTACAGTACACTGAGTTTGAAAGGAGCACAATTTTGGTATTGATGCAACTGTTTTTTTTTTTTTTAGCAGCCAGAACAAATTACTTTTACTCCAAGCCATGATACCCGGACAGAAAGTGTTTTGGACACAACTAAACAATTCACAACTGGTAAGGTAAATAAACTATTATTATGATGTTGTAACTTCTGAGTGGTTGATAATCTTTTATAGCTGCCATATATGCTTTTATATAGATATTTAATAGTCGAGAAGCATTGCTTAATTGGAGTCGTGTGCAAGGACGAAAGTGTGGCATAGTAGTTGTCATTAAAAGGTTTGATGGAGCTGGAAAAATTATAACGAGGAGGGATAGAGTTACTTTAGGTTGTGAGAGAGGTGGGCATTCTATTAAGAAGCCTAATGTAGATTTAGATGATGAACAACCAATGAATTCTGAAGTAGATGTAAGACACCGCTCTTTGTGGAAACGACACTCGGACTTCCGAGCTACACTACTATAAGACACATTCCCTTGGTTTTGCAAAGTGGTACGAACATCGAGACCGCATTGACAATTGGAAGGAGCTTACTGGTTCATTTGATGTACATCTTGATGTATATTGATCCCTTACTATTAGATGTATATTGGTATAGTTCATATCGAGATCGCATTGACAATTGTATGTTCTTTGAACTGAAATTCATTCCTTTCAAATATATATTATGTTCTTTGAACTCAAATAACGCATGATGAATGTATTGTGCGATTAAACAATGAAACCAGTATAACAGTAAATTTAGGCACTTTTTCTATACTCTTGAGAAGGTACCATCTTTCATTCAGTTATAAATCATATGTATGAGCTATGTCAATCATCATTAACCCTTGAAATAATTTTTCCAATTTAGATTTAGAAAACAAATTACTTTGAGTATAAAAGATTAATACATGCACGAATAAGAATGCTGCCACAACGAACCAATGCACTGCAAAACTCAAGGAAGAATAGGAAGCAACAACAATTTATATCAGTTTGAAACTTGAAGGAATTCTTTTAAGGAAAAAAAAAAGAATAGTAGTTGCCATGGCAAGGGTTTGTTGCTGGAAACACACATAGCTAAAAAAGGCAAGGGCAGCCACTATTCACGTGAATAGTATCAGCCCTAGCCCCCCCCTTGCCATGGCAAGGGTTTGTTGCTGGAAATGCTCTAAAGGTAGCTTGTGGGGTTTAAATAGAAAATCTATTTTATTTCTTATTTTTTCAGCTTGGGGTGTATTTAAGGGTAGTTTGGGAAGATAGTGGGGTTTACTTAGAAATTGTGAAAATTTAAATTAAAAGTTGAGGTGAACTAAGAGAAGTGTGGTGTTTAAATAGAAAATCTCTAATTGTAGGGGGATATCAACTTAAAACTTAAAGTATTATTTCCTGCTGGATCAACTATGATTTCGGTATGCAGACAAAATACAATTATGATCAAGGACAATCAAGCGAAACAGGACAATTGTCGTGAATACAATCCATGAGCCACGGAGGCGGCTCATCCATCCAAAACAATAAGCCCCTTTCACAGAGGAGACTAAACCGTGCAATTCGGTGTGCTGCCACATTAGAAATACGAGGAACATGCTGTACACAAATTTGGGTATTTGAAGCAATGAAGCTGCAATTTTGTCACGAGTGATTGCTTAGCAGAAACTGAACTTGTGCTGGGCTTAAATGATGCAGCCTGACATATGAACTCAGAAGGTCTGTTCTAGAATTGTCACGACATGTCATTATCTCCTGTCAATCAAAATACTCCATATCTTGCATTTGCAAACAAGAACTTTGAGAACAGGCTGCAAGAAGAAATGGCATCCATTTCACCATCAATCATCCCTGTCTCGACCTTGACCTCGACCAATTTCTGAAGCTCATCAGGGATTGAATTGCGAGAACCAAACATATGTTGCAACAACAGTGGCATCAGAGACCTCAAGATCAGCTCTGATTCCTTCACCATCTATCTCACTTGCAGGCATCTTCAGAAAAACTGAAAAGAAAATATTATCATGAAAATTCTTTCAGAAGAAAACACCAAATAAACAACAATAAAGGATCAAAGAATACAATATCTATGAATATGATTGGTCAGATCCTTACGTAATCGAACAGTGAAAGGCATTTACAATGAAGTAAGCAGCCAAGCTGACGTCAATGATTGAACCATGAGCTTCGACTCTGAAATCATGCATGGGAAGTTTTTTTCTCAAGTCTGCAAGTACACATACAACAGAAATATTGCATCAAAAGGATCTAAACTACAGCAGCTTGTCTATTTAATAAGATGACAGATAAAGAAAAATCCCTAAACTCCAAGGATAAAGAGTCAAGTAAGGAGCCCAAGAAATGAACCCTCCCCTCCTCACCCTCTCTCCTTTCAAATCATCAAAGACCCTCATATCCCTATCCACCAAACAGCCTAGTAAATTGTCATTACATCAAATCTTCCCAAAACCATAGCCCTCATCTTTCCTCCAAAGAGTTTAAGCTTCACACACAACAATGCATTACACAACGCAGGGTTAAACCAGATGAATCTTACCTCCTTAACTGGCAGAAGATGGACCAGAGAGATAGGGCAAAGGAAAGTTGCCTCCTTTGAACCATGTGATTAGTATAAATTCCTCCATTGTTGATGTTTGTGATCAGATATACAAGAGCATAACATATCTACACAAGCTTCAAGCTGGTAACAGAATAACCAGCTTGTGCCATGCCACCTATGTCAAAAAGTATCAATGAAAACCAATTTTTTTCATAATAAACAAAACAGGGGAAAGACAAATGAGAAGGATAGAAGAAAAAAAAAAATTACAATTTACAAAACAGGGGACAAGTTAACTTTTATCTTACAACTTTAAGCTCACAGGTTATCCATAGACATTGATTACAATCTAAGCTAGCTCAAATGAGACTCAAATACATTCTTATTATGGAAAGAAAAATGCTGTGCATTCGATGCCTGAATGTAGGAATGTGTCGCTTGAGATATTCCAGGTAAACCTTTCTATTTCTCCTCATTGTGACAATTGTTTTGTAGAAAAATAAAGAGCTATATACAATGTTAAATTCTCCTGACACCTAAAGAAACCTTACCAGGCAAAAAGACAGATAATTACTCAGCATTTGAGACTTAAATAGGATATAAGTTGCGATCAGCAAAACAACCCCAATGAGAAATAAAGTAAATAGAACCATAATTACTGAGCATTAGAATAATACAAATCAGATTGAGTTTTTGTCTAAAGCACAAATTGTTCAAAATGATTTTGATCAGAAAAAAGCATGAGACCAGTAAACAGGAGTGCCAAGGTAATTGACAAAAAACGTTAATTTGGGAAAAATGCTCACCGGGAAGTTCCTCAGTGAATCACAGCTATTATCTATCCACAAAGATTCGAGCGATGTTAATTTGGCCAACATCTCGTCAGGTAGGAATTCTAATCTCTTACAGTTCTGTATATAAAGTGTGGTCAAAGTAGCGGGTAACCCATCTTTAGGGAACGAAGACAGCGTTGGACAATTCCGGAGACTCAAATGTTGAAGACAATGGCGATTGGGCAAGCATTGTATCAACGAAATTTCCAATTTCCACTAGTAATGATAACAGACCCTTTTGGCATCCACCTTCTATTTCCAACTCTTCAAGTGAGATGTTGAAGTCCCTTTCCTGGCAGGAATTGGAGGTTGTCACACGCTTCAATTAGCAGCGTTTGGAGAGAAGTGAGGTGTTGAAGTCCCTCCCCTTCTCCTGGCAGGACTTGGATACTGTGACACGCACTAATAACTAGAGTGCGAAGAGTGGTAGGGAGCAGGTGTTCCTTGAGCAACGTCTCCAAGATACTGCCACCAATTATAAATGATTTAAGGGAGACAAGTCCTTCCAATCCCCAGTACTTTACCACTGGAGCCCTCAGCCTCTCACAACTACGAGTGCACAAAGATCGGATGTTGGGAGGCAAACCCCCTTCTGCAAATGAATCCAGATTTGGAAGATCATTCACCTTCAACAGTCGAAGGTCTGTGAGGGTGTGAATGCCTTCGGGTAATGACTTGAAATTCTTGCATTTGCTGACTCTAAATTCATTCAAGTTGGGAGTGGGCCATCCTCCCTGACATTGAAAACACAACAAATTTGGACAACCATCGATAAACAATTCTCTGAGATGACTGAGATTCTCATTAACTCCTTCTTCAATGAAGGAAAGGGATTCCAGATTCTCACAACCGCTAATGTCAAGCTGCTTCAATTTGGGAAAAATGCTCACCGGGAAGTTCCTCAGTGAATCACAGCTATTATCTATCCACAAAGATTCGAGCGATGTTAATTTGGCCAACATCTCGTCAGGTAGGAATTCTAATCTCTTACAGTTCTGTATATAAAGTGTGGTCAAAGTAGCGGGTAACCCATCTTTAGGGAACGAAGACAGCGTTGGACAATTCCGGAGACTCAAATGTTGAAGACAATGGCGATTGGGCAAGCATTGTATCAACGAAATTTCCAATTTCCACTAGTAATGATAACAGACCCTTTTGGCATCCACCTTCTATTTCCAACTCTTCAAGAGATCTGTAGTTAAGACTACTGGTTGTTGTAGTATTGGCCCCTTCATCATGTAAAACCTCACACCCAGACACCGTAAGCTTCTTCAAGCAAGGCAAATGACAAGGCAAGCTTCTGCTCAGCTTCGGACAGTTGGTTAGAATCAACTCTTGGAGACGAGGGAAATCTTGACCATATTCGCCTCCACTTGCATGTACCCATTCCTCCCACTCTGCCATCTCCATAAACTTTAGCTTCTCTAGTGATTGAAATGGCTGAATAAGAGAAGCTCCATTTCTGCCATAGAATTCCACGCCAATCATCTTAACAGACTTCATTCTTTCTATACATAGCTCTTTGAGAGAGGGTAGCCGCCCAACTGGTGGCAGTGACCAACAATAACTACAATCACTCAGATGCATAACTTGTAAATTAGAGAAGGACGAGTCTCCTAACCAATTCGGGAAGTTGGTTCCACCATAGAATCGGATGGTTAGTATCTCTATATTCATGCAAGGGTGGAGCTTGTCAAGTACATCTTTCTCCTTTTGGGAATCATCAGCATCCTCTGCACTCCATGCCAACTCTAACTCCTTGAGATCTTTCTTGTCCTTCAAATTGGCTTGCAATGCATCCCTAGCATCAACTACATTTTGTAGCTTCAAAATTGCAAGTTTTCCTTGAAGCTGCGAGAACTCCCTCAGTTCTCCTATGCTTGACCCAACAGATCTGCCCACAACAAAAGCAGTCAATTGTCTCAAACTTTTCAATCTTCCCATTTGCACCGGCATCTCTTCAATTTTAGTTCCACTGACATCAAGATGATGCAAATTAATCAACTCAGTCATTCCTAAGGGCAATTTAGTAAGAGAGCTACAACTTGCCAACATTAATTTCTGTAAATTAATCAACTTTCTGATATCTGCCGGCAATTCAAGGAGAGAGGAACAATTTGACAATAGCAACGTCTGCAAGTTGTAGAGATTGCAAAGTACCCCAGGTAACCTTTCAATTGCGGTATGGGAAAGATCCAAGTAGCGCAAGTGAATGAGGTTTCCAATAGAATCAGGTAACTTAGTGACATTTTGATAACGTGACAATGATAGCACCCGTAAACATCTTAGTGAGGGCAACAAATGTTGTAGAGCCTTTTTACTTACATAAAATTCTTCATAATATTCAATTTGTTTTAAAGAGGTAGGTAGGAAGGTCCTCAAACACTTAGCCCCATATAATGGCTCAAATTTTTGAGCAACATCAAATTCTCCCCTAGCAAAGGACAAATGACGAGCTCTTTGAACTTCATGTGATTCCACCCCTTCCAGCCTAAGGCTAAACCCCCTAGAGATGAACATAGCCAAGTCATGAATGAGGTCATGCATTGTGAAACCAAATTCTCTTGACTTTTGAAACAGCGACCGGGATAATAACTCATCAAAGTATTTTCTAGCCACTGATTCCATAATCTTCCCATTATCAGCTTGTGTAACTAAGCCTTCTGCCATCCATAATTGAACTACATCTTCCTTTTCAAACTCATAATCCTTTGGAAAAATTGAACAATAAACAAAGCATTGCTTTAACTGAGCAGGGAGATAATGATAACTCAACCATAGAGCCGGAAGAATGTCAGTTGTACCATAGGATAGGTACCAAATATTACTATTTAGTATTCTATTCCACTCCTCAGAATCTATATTGCAACGTAACAAACCCCCGAGTGTTTGTGCAGCTAAAGGCAACCCTTTGCACTTAAGTGCAATTTGCTTGCCAATGTCTACCAAGTTTGAATTTGCACTATAGTTTTCATTTCCAAAAGCATGTTTAGCAAGTAACAACCAGCAGTCTTGAGGTGACAATGGTTCCAAGAATTGAATGGGAACATTTTTCATTAAAGATGCTACATTTTTGTTCCGTGTTGTTACAATGACTTTGCTTCCCCTTGCCCCTGAAGTAAAAGGAGTTTGGAGGCACTCCCAATCACCATAATTTTCATTCCACAGATCATCCAACACAAATAAAAATTTCTTTCCCCTCAGCTGTTCTCTTAATTCAACTTGAAGCAAATTCAGATCTGTCGTATTACAAGGCTTTGTATTGACTGACTCAAGAATAGTTTTAGTTATTCTAACAGCACTATAGTCTTCTGAAACACAAGCCCAAGCTTGAAGTGTAAAATGCCCTTTCACCTTATTGTTGTTGTAAAGCATTCTAGCAAGGGTTGTCTTGCCAACCCCACCCATTCCAACAATGGTGAGGACAGACACATCATCCTTGCTTGCATCATCAGATAGCAACACTTTTGATAAATTTTCTTGGACTTCATCTCTACCATATACACAAGGTTCATGAACCAAGGAAGTTGTTGGAGTTCTATGTGAAACCTTCCTCCTAGCAACTTCTCCCAGACCAAGAGCAATTTTCTGTTGTACAAAGTTTTCTAATCTTTGAAACAACTCTTGTATCTTGACATTCATGCTTTGATAAAAATGATTACGAGAAGAAGGGAGTAAGTTCCACACCTTATTGGTTAATTTGTGGGTTTGATCTTCACCTTCCAGCTTGCATCGCAAAGCTTCAGTGTCGATCTCATCCAGTAAGTCCTCTGCATCAAAGACAGCAAGCTTGAGCTCGTTAAGCCACTCTCTCACAGCAGGATTCACAAGTTGCTTCTCCTCTGCATCATTGAGCACCACGAACAAAGTCAACAATGTCGTCTTCAAGTTCATGAGGAGTGGTTCGTCGAGTTTCTTCTGCCGAAATAAGTCGACGAACTCGCTTGAAGTAATTCTGTCACACAACACCTGGACAGAAGCAGAGATAAGAGCCTCTCCGATCAAATCCATGTCTTCTCTCTTCTCTGCAGACTGCAAGGGATTTGGATGAAGTAAAATATTTCAAGGACTGTTCCTTCTTTGTTTGTGAGGCAACTTCTGAAAACTTTTCCATGGCCTCACATGGGGATGCAATATAATATTGCGTTAGGTACAATGCAACACAATAGCTTTTCATGGGGATGCAATGTGGCCTCATATGGGGATGCAATATAATATTGTATAGCTAAAACACAATAGTCTTTCGGTGGCCTCACATGGGGATGGGGTCGTCTGTATACGCAAAGTTGGACGCAAAAGCTTTTGAATAATAACGCAATTTCAAAAGGATCTAATTGCAGTGAACACAAGGATAAACGATTAATTAATTCTTCCACTCAAACCTGTCCTCCACTCAAGGATTAATTAATTTGTTACTTTATGTAATCAGCTATAGCAGCAAAGCCTCCGTCCTCTCCTCGCCTTCCAGCGCAAAGCCTCCAGATCCAGATCGATGCCCTTGGTTTCGATTTCACTTAATTTAAGTAGCAGACTTCTTCTATCCTATTTGCAAATTTACGTATTTGGTTTGTACAAATTTTCCAATTTCAATTGTAAGCCTCCCTCTTGTAGAAATTCATTCTTCGATTTTGGGTTAATTCTATTTTTTTTTCTTTTAAAATCTTGATTAAATAACAACATATATCGAAACTGAGTTTGTGTATTCGACGTCTTTAGCTTTGAGAAAGTTGATTCCTTGCATTCTTCGAAATTATATCAATTCCTTATATTCGAAACTGAGTTTACCATAACACCCCAATCAATGTATTTTTTTTTTTTAAAGAACAAAAAATGAGAAATTTGTGTTTTTAAAAAGAGTTTTCTTTCTTCACCGCATATTCTAAATTCATCTTAACTTCTAATTCAAATTTTCACACTTTCTAAGAAAACCCAACTATCTTCTCAAAACTACTCTTAAATACATATCTAGCAGCAAAATAAAAGTAAAAAAACGCCCACACCCTGTGAGAACCTTTATAAATAAATAAAAAATAATAAAAAAAACTAACCTCTCCACACCCGCTTCTGGGCCTGTGAGAGGCTTTTTTAAAAAAAGTTTTAAATTTATTTTAGAATTAAAAAAGATAATAGATAGTTATGTTCCATAAAAATAGGATTTATTATCTGATTTTTCTTTTAATTTTAATTTTTTTAATATGAAAAAGTGTGAATTTACCATATTATTCTCATTTAATTAATAATTTTAATTTTTAATGTTTGCATTAACCAATGATATTTTTTAATATTTTAAATGTTTTACCATATTATCCTCATTTAATATATATAGATAAAAAAAAAACCTATCACCAGCAAATTGTCCGTGTTCTTTGTGTATTTTGGGTGCTAACAAATAACGGTATACAAAATTCCTCAGCAACTTGAAGTGCCAACAAGTAGTCTTCCGTGCATAACACCCAAAAACGTCCATCAACTCTGCCAAGCCCCCTTTTGCCAACCACAAATTTCACATGAATGCATGCACCATGCACCATGGACATTGAGCTCGAGTAAATACAATATTATACGGAGCCAGCATAGGCTCATTGGGTGCACATGCCCCCACTCACCCACGTGAAACTATTCACCCAAACCCATTTAAACTGATAAAAACATTCCTTTTACACTCCCCAAACCCACTCAAATTTTTTATTTAGTTTACCTTTCCTTTTAATATATATTTTTTTTTTGGTCAAAAAGCATTACAATTTACAAAACCCAATCCCACATCACCCACCCCCACGACTCTTTCTTCTCCTCCTTCTCTAAACCGTTGCTTGCTGGTCTTTCTTCTTTTCTCAGTGTCACGGTGGTAAGGTAAGTTTACTTGGTTTTCCCTTACAATCCTAATGTTAGAGATCAAGTTAGGAGAGCATATTTGCAAAAAGGTCCTTGTCAGCCTAGAGTCCATAATTTCCCATACAAGCAATTTGGAAAAACATTAAGAAGATTTCATCCCTGCTTGGTTTGATGATTTTTCTACTTTGTTGGAATATAGTATAGAAACAGATTCTGCATTTTGTCTTTGCTGCTACTTTTTTAAAACCAAATATTGAAGGAGAAAGACATTATGCATTAATATATGAACTTTGTCTTTAAGTATGTTGTTGGAATTTTTACTCTTACTTTATTGTTTGGAGATGCCCCCAATAAATATTTTTACTCTCACTTTTGACTACTAATTGAGCCACTAATCAACAATCTCCACACTGGCTCAAACTGTACCAACCTTTTGTGATAATACTCGATAAAAAATTATAAAATAAAAACATCATCAATTTTATATTTACAAGTATTTTTCTTTTTTGTCAGAATTATATTCACAAGTATGACTCGCTTATTTTGGGTTTCTTGTAATGTCAAGTTCTCCACATTCATCTATCTAATCCCTTCATCAGTGGCAGCTTTGTCAAGTTTAGAATAAACATTTATTGTCTATTTTTCTAAAAAGTTTATACAATTGATATTGATGGAGGGAATTCGAATATAGGACATCAAAGTGCAGAGGTAATTATTCTTATCGAGAATTGGATTGGACAAGAAAATACAAGCTATATATGTTTAAGCAATTTCAAAGAATGACGACCAAGAAGAGGAACTGGGTTTAAGAGCGCAATGGTTTCGTTTTGAAGACTACAATTTTCTTTTTGTTCCCTACTGCAATAAAAAAATGCAAATTTATTTATATACCCAATCTTAGACATAGTCTTATAAAGAAACCCTATACCATTTAAAAACTATAAACACACCCAAAAAAAAACCCAAAAATCGACAGCTGCAAATTTTTTCAATTTAATAGCTATTTTTTAGTTTATTTGTGTGTGTAAAATATCTATATGGCCCTTGTACTATGGATTTGAGAGAGAAAAATCAGATCAACCAACTGTAGATTTTGATATTAATATTAAATTACCAAAAAACCAAATCATATTCATTTTCTCCTTTCTCGCGGGTGCTTTCTCAGTGTTGAGCAAGAGGAGCTTCCATTGAAGCTTTGTCTTAGCTCCAACTATATTCTTCATCTATGATCTACAATTTTCAATATTTCACCTTCGATTTCTTGTTCTAAAATCGTGCTTCTATTCATAATTTTTTTTGGATTGTTCGGAACCTCGATCATATGCTCCTAGCTCTACTCCTCATCTTCAAGCTCTAATTTTCAAATTTTTTGCTTCGAATTCTCATTATGAAATCTTTCTTATACTTAGATAATTGGTTTTCTCTTTGGATGTTGGTTTGTTTTGTTCTTTTTTCATCATTTCTTTGGTAGACATGCATTAGAAATAGCAACATGACATCCATTAGTCAACGTGACAGTAAACTAGCAGTGTTATTACCCTAAACTAGTACATTACAACCATTAATCAACATGACAGTAAATAGCAGTGTTAATACCCTAGACTGGAACATTACAGTCATTAATCAACGTGAGAGTAAACTAGCAGTATTATTACTCGAGACTGAAACATTACAGCCACTAATCAATGTACAGTAAATAGTAGTGTTAATATCCTAGACTGGAATATTACCTCCCTTAATCAAAATGACAGTCAATAGCAGTGTTAATAACCTAGACTAGAACATTACCTCCCTTAATCAAAATGACAGTCAATAGCAGTGTTAATACCCTAGACTGGAACATTACCGTCCGTAATCAACGTGACAGTAAACTAGCAGTGTTATTGCCCTAGACTGGAACATTACAACCATTAATCTACAGGACAATAAATAACAATGTTAATACCATAGACTGGAACATTACAGTCATTAATCAACGTGACAGTAAACTAGCAGTGTTATTACCCTAGACTGAAACATTACAACTATTAATCAACGTGACAGTAAATTTGTGGTTTTTAAATGTTTTACATTTGAACCCTTTTCTGCTTCAAATTCTTCAGCCTTTTGTGTTGAATGGTTGCTTCTCTTTATTTTTCGTGATTTTGTAGGTGGTGGTTAATGGTAGGTGTGGTGGTGTTTTTTGAAAAAAATAAAATAGAGCGGCTACGGTTTTCGAGACGTTTCCTTTGTAATGAATTGTTTGGGTTTTTTTTATTATAATAAAATTGGGTTGGACTTGTTTTTGGTGTTTTTTTTTGAGTTTTTTGTGTTGGGCTTCTTTCAGTGGCAGTCACATAATTTATAGGAACTTCAACATCAATTTCTTATGTAATAAATTGGTTTTGGGTATGTTTCTAAAGTGCATTCCATGTGGGTTTTTTAATTTATAATTTCAGCCCATATTTTGGGTATATTAGTAAAGACCCCTTTAAAAAGTTATTCCAAGAAAAATGTCTTATGCACACCCTATTCATTTTCAATGGATCAAACTTATTTTCCAAAAAAATAAAAGATCAAACTTTAACACCCTACAGAAGAGAAAATAGGGTTACAGCAAGAAATTAATGTAAAGGATAAAACTAAATTGAAAATTTCTCTACTCAATATTTTTGTCCAGAAAAACAAGATACACAAATTTGCAAATTTCCTTTCTTTTCCCCAAGTCCACCATTTCATAAAAGTGTAATGTTATTAACACAAGAAACTAATATTTTTAACACGAACCAAACAATTTATACTAGAAATAGAAACTAATATTTTTTATGCTAGAAACTGAAGCCGAATGTAAATCATTCCATCCAAAGGGACCATAATTTGTTACAACAAAAGCGTATAGTGCTACCATAATGACATCAGAATACTGTTTGATGGCAAAGTTAAATTCCTCTAAACGAAAAAATGTGTACAATTTTAAGGGATCACAAATTCCATTTACAGAGTTGGCCTTGCCATAAGTGATTGTTTAGCATAAACTGGATTTGTGCTGGGATTAAATGATGCAGCATGATGGGCTGTTCTAGAATTGTCAAGACATGTCGTTATCTCTCCTCCCAATCAAAATACTCCATCTCTTGCATTTGCCAAGAACTTTGAGAACAAGCTTCAATAAGAAATAGCATGCATTTCACCATCAATCATCCCTGTCGCGACCTTGACCAATTTCCTTACTAGAGCTTCGCTTCTCAAGTTCATCAGGGATTGAATTGCCAGCTCCGAACATGTTGCCAGTTTTTTAACGGAAAAAAAAAAAAAAATGTTCTCAGTTGCAACTTGCAACAACAGTGGCATCAGATGCTTCGAGATCAGCTCTGATTCCGTCACCACCTATCTCACCTGCAGGTGTTTCAATCTTCAAAATGTTTACAAATCTTTATGTAACTCATGAATTTCCATTGCACTTTTTTTTTAGCGAAAGATCGACTTATCATTAACATCAACAAGATCGGGTTACATCAACAAGGTATGTATATATAGGTGGCCTCGTTAAAACCTTACCGAGGAAAACCCATTGGGACAAAACCTCGGGTAGGAAAGAGTGCCACACATACCAAAAGACAAAGCAAGATTACATCAACAGGTGGATTAATCCAAAGGACAATCTCTACGCACAGAGTCCATGAGCCAAGGGGGTCCAGCTTCCATCCAAAAGTCAAAACCTCTAACACGAAGATTGAATTTAGCAATCCGGCGAGGCAACATATTGGCGCTACGAGATATGTGTTGGACTACAACCTGTCACCCCAACTTCAACAGGTTTCTGATTGCGTCAACTAATCCACCCTCCACCGCAAGACACTCCACATCAGAGGTCACCAGTTGAACAGCAAGAAGGCTATCAGATTCCACAACCAAGGGGACAACGGCAGCGTCAAGGGAAAGGGACAAACCAATTTTCATGGCATCGTTCTTCGCCTGCATAACCAACTCAACAACAGATAACGGGTTACCTCCAAAAAGTATATTATTCCGTTCAGTCCAAAGCATCCACATTGTGAGAGCAAAAAAGAGGGAGCTGCTCTCCAGAAAGAATATGTCAGGTCGCTGCAACCCAGTGCATCGGGTCTTGAGTTTGCAAATCAAAAATTTCCATTGCACTTGAGATATCTAGAAAGATTCATTGACTCAGCAGACACTTGAAGGCTGATTTTCTGTCTGAAATGATGATGACTTGAGCGATGCCACATGTGAACATATTTGGTCTGTTCCTACAAGTCCAAATTAGGATCAACAAATTAATTGTAATAGGAGTATACTTTATAATTTTGGTGATAGTACATTCTAAATGAACCTTAGAAAAAGGCGTTTACCACGAATTATACAGCTAACCCAATCCTTGTTCAAGTCCAGGACAGATTTAATTAAGCATCGAACAGAAATGAAGCAAAAATGAATGAAAATAAATTACCCAGAAAAACAGTCTATCTCAATTTAGTGTTCAAAACAATAAAAAACAAGTGACATGACAATAATAACCAGTGGCATCGACAGACAAAACAGTAATAACACATAGATGATACTTGATGACTTACGATAAGAGGCACTTCCAGGAACCAACAGAAACCATGTTTAAGACTCTTTGTGTAGATCAATCCGTTAATTTTCCGCTGCATTTAAGATATATCGAAAAATCCATTGGCTCATAAGACAATTCAAGGTCCATTTTCAGTCTGAAATGCTGATGACGTGACACATGCAATGTATGAACCTGCTTGGTCTGATCCTACCTATCCAAATTGGAAGTTGATGTTAATAGGATTTTAAATGAACAAGCAACAAAAAAGTTAATTATTTTACATCTTGCTGACAAATTAATCTATGAACAAAACAACGAAGTAAATTGTCATTACATCACATCTCCCCAAAACCATATAGCCCCAAAAGTTTAAGCTTCACACACAACAATGCATTACAGGACGCAGGGTTAAACCAGCTGAATCTTACCTCATTAACCAGCCGCAACCATATAGATAAAGCTACACGATTAGTATAAATTCCTCCATTGTTGAGAAAGAAACGGATTTTAAAATAGTATGAAATAAGATGGCTCCCATCCGTAGTTTCTTATTCTGTGTGGCTGACTCCTTTAACAGTACAAAAACAATACAAGAATAATTAATTACATAATACAATCAAAAAGATCCTTGTTGGTTAATTTGTGGGTTTGATCCTCACCTTCCAGCTTGCATCTCAAAGCTTCAGTGTCAATCTCATCCAGTAAGTCCTCTGCATCAAAGACAGCATGCTTGAGCTCGTTAAGCCACTCTCTCACAGCAGGGTTCACAATTTGCTTCTCCTATGCATCACGGAGCACTGCGAACAAAGTCAACAGTGTTGTCTTCAGGTTCACGAGGAGTGGTTCGTCGAGTTTCTTCTGCCGACATAAGTCGATGAACTTGGGTTAAGTAACTCTGTCCACACGACACCTCGATAGAAGCAGAGATTAGAGCCTCTCTGATCAAAGCTGCTGCCCTTTTTCTCTGCTTTGGAAGGGATTTGGATGAAGTGATATTCCAAGGTTTGCAGAACTTGGAAAATACAGGTTTGTAAGCAAGTATGAAAGCCTTTTGATATTGTAATTAAGCTTTGAAAACTCTCTTTCACTTTGAAGGACTGTTCTTTGTGGGACAACTTTTGAAACCTTTTCTGTGCACTCAAATCGTGGAACTGTGGCCACCGATCTTAATATGCAAAGTTGGATGCAATAATATTGCGTACACTGGCCAAAATGGTACAATATGCTATCAACTTTTTTTTTTTTTCTTTTTGGTCGGACAAAGATGCTATCATATATCACCAGCAAATTCCAATTTTGAATGTTAGCAGAATTTGAAAAGGACTTGATGCTTATGGAGCTATTATAATTGTGGCTGAAAAAATGGTGTAATAGTGGGGCTGAAGTGGAAGAACAAGGGATGAGCAAAGCAGGGGAGAGGAAGATGCTCTCAATTTTATTTTATTTTTCATCTTTATTTTATCATAGTTAGATGACTACACAAATTTCAAACTAGTAGCAAGCACCATATTAACTCATTAACAGCATATACAATATATAATATATTTTAGAAATTTTTTGTTTCTCTCATTCACATGTTCAAGTTTCTACATAGATCAAATTTCTCAAGAAGAAAATACTAAAATACCTGATTTTCTCGAACTTGAAGCGCGGCACCCTTTGTTTCAAATAATTGCAGAACACACCGCTTATGACAAGAAAGCATACCATTTCTCCTTATCAAATCAGTTCACAGAAAATGGTTGCTGTGTATACTATCACTTGATGCCTCTCTCTCCACTTGCCCAAGATCGACAAACTATAAAAGATGTAAGAATGAGCAATTTAAGGAGATGCAAGCTTTCCCAGTTATGACTGATATTTAAAAATAAAAATAAAAAGTTTGAAGAGCAAAGTTACTTGATGATGACTTTCTTACCTCTTTGCAGAGTCTTTGATCCTACAAAATAATTGCAACACAGCAACTTATAAGAAACATTTCTAGCCACCAGTAGAAAATTTCAAACAGAAAAATGTTTACAAATCCTTATATAACTCATCAATTTCAATTACACTTGAGATATCTAGAAAGGCTCATTGACTCAGCAGACATTTGAAGGCTGATTTTCTATCCCAAATGATGATGACTTGAGCGATGCCACGTACAAACATATTTGGTCTGCTCCTACAAGTCCAAATTAGAATCAAAAAATTAATTGTAATAGGACAACAAACTTTATAATTTTGGTAAACCATAACCTAGAACAACAAACTTAACAAAGAAAAGGAGAGAGATGATAAACAAAGCTTAAACAAGCTAAATTCACTAACAATTTTGTAATTGGTGATCGATCTCTCTCCTCAACCTAAGACAACCTATTGATACTAGGACGACATATATCACATACCTGCAGTACCTGGGAAAGTCCAAAGATTAATTAATGGCATGAACCTATTAACAGACTATCCATAGGCATTAAATTCGATTTAAACTAGCTCAAGTGGACTCAAATACATTTTTATCATATAAAAGTACCTAAAAATGGTGTACATTTGATGCCTATATGCAGGAATGTATCAGTTGAAGTTCCTCTCCTGGCAGGAATTATAGACTGACAGGCCGTAATATATAGAGCGCGAAGAGTGGTATTGAGCAGCTGTTCCTTGAGAAACATCTACAAGATATTGCCACCAAGTCCTTGCAAACCCCAGTAATCTCCCACCGAAGGGCTCAGTCTGTCACAATTCAAAATATGAAAATATTGCAGGTTGGGAGGCAAATGACACAAGATTTTGAAGATCATATATCCCCAAATGTCGAAGGCTGTGAGGGTGCCAATGTGTTTAGGCAATGACTTCATTCTGTCATCTACTGACTGTGACAAAAGTAGGCTTCTGCAGTTGAAAATAAGCAATAAGTATCGATTAAATTTTTTTTTTTATAAGAAACGTGCTTTCATTCCAAGAGAAATTAAAAAAAAAAAAACAGGGGACAAGTTATCTACTGGATTAGCTATACTACTCAACTACCACCACAGATCAGAGATTAAACATCCCAACATTACATGAACGAAATCTAAAATCAGCAGCAGTCGAATCACAACATAAATGAAATCTAAACACAGAGTGTAACAAATTCTCAGTTGCTGTGAAATGCAGGGACAAGGGTAAACCATAACCTAGAACAACAAAACTTAACAAACAAAAGGAGAGAGATGATAAACAAAGCTTAAACAAGCTAAATTTACCAACAATTTTGTAATTGCTGATCGCCGATTGATCTCTCTCCTCAACCTAAGACAACCTATTGATACTAGGACGACATATATCAGGCCACAACATTAATAACATACCCGCAGTACCTGGGAAAGTCCAAAGATTAATTAATGGCATGAACCTATTAACAGACTATCCATAGGCATTAAATTCAATTTAACTAGCTCAAATGAGACTGAAATACATTTTTGATGCCTATATGCAGGGAATGGTATCAATTGAGATATTCCAGGTAAACCTTTTCTGTTTCTCCTCGCTGTGACAATTGTTTTATAGAAAAACAAAGAGCTATATACAATAGTAAACCCTCCTCTGGAAATTCCACACAAAGAAACTTTCCAAATGAAAAGCTCCCCAAGGGCCAAGAGACTGCTAATTATTCAGCATTTGATACTCCAAATAGGATACAATTTACTGAGCAACACGTTATTAGAAATCAGATTGATTGTTTTTTTCTGGAAAAATTATTTTTATCTGAAAATAACAAAAAGCGTGAAATTATTAGAAATGAGATGAACTTGGGCACATAACTGGTTTTTGGAAGAGAAAGAGAATATGTGTTTTGGTTTTTGTATTCAATTAGAAGAAGAGAAGCAGTTTTTTAAAGTAAGAGAAGGCACATACCTGACCTGACTTTGATTTGAGAGTTGAGGGTTGAGCATGAAATATGGAATAGCTCATATTATATGATCACTTCGTTGCCTATCTCGATGCAAGGAATGTGAGATATCTTGGCCCAATCTTGTCCCGTCTTATTCTTATACCTTTCCTGCAGGGCAGGACAACCTTTGATACACAGATAAGAAAGAGATGGCGGCAAACCCTCTTTTGGCAGGCATTGGAGACTGCGACACCAACCAATACGTAGAGTTTGAAGAGAAGTGAGGTGTTGAAGTTCCTCTCCTGGCAGGAATTCCAGACTTGGACACAATGCAATTATTAGCAATTGAAGAGAAGTAAGGTGTCCAAGACCCTTTCCGTCCAAAGATTTCAGAGTTGAAGAGATGCTAAGAGTGTGAAGAGTGGTAGGGAACAGCTGTTCCTTGAGCAACGTCTCCAAGACATGGTCACTTCCAGAGATTTCAAATTGTTCAAGGGAGACAAGTGCTTGCAAACTCCAGTACTCTCCCACTGATGAAGCCCTCAGTCTCTTACAATTCCTAATTTGAAATCGTCGGAGGTTGGGAGGCAAACCCCCATCTTCTGCAAATGACTCCAGATTCGGAAGATTCCATATCAACAAAGATCGAAGGGCCGTGAGGGTGTGAAGGCGTTCGGGCAATGACTTCAAATTCTTGCATCCACGAACCTTAAAGTCTCTGAGATGGCTGAGATTCTCATCAATGGAAAGGGATTCCAGATTCTCACAATCCACAATGTGAAGCGCCGTCAATTTAGGAAAAATGCCCAACGGGAAGGACCTCATTGAATCACAGCTATTTTGTATCCACAAATAGTCAAGCGATGTTATTTTGGCCAACATCTCATGAGGTAGGAATTCTAATCTCCTACAATTGTCTATAGTAAGTGATGTCAATGTAGTGGGTAAGCCATCTTTTGGGAACGACGACAGCATTGGACAATTCTTCAGAGTCAAAAGTTGAAGACGATTGCAGTTGGGCAAGCACTGTACGTCAACAACATTTCGAATCTGAAGTCGGGACAGGAGCTTTATCTCTAATAATGATAATAGTGTTTGGCATCCATCACTTATTTCCAATTCTTCAAGAGATTTATAGTTAAGACTATTGGTAGTTGTGGTAGTGGCCCTTCCATCATGTAAAACCTCACACCCAGACACCGTAAGCTTTTTCAACCAAGACAGCTCACAAGGCAAACTTCCTCTCAGCTTTGGACACTTGTTTAGAATCAACTCCTGGAGGTGAGGAAAGTCTGGACCATATTCACCTCCACTTGATCTTCCACTTGGTACCCATTCCTCCCATTCTAGCATCTCCCTAAACTCCAGCTTCTTCAGAGATTGAAATGGCTGAGTCAGATAAGCTCCATTTATGCCATAGAATTCAACGCCAATCGTCTTCACAAACTTCATTCTTTCTATACATAGCTCTTTGAGTGCCGGTAGCCGCCCAACTGGTGGGAGTAACCAACAATAACTACAATCACTGAGATGCATGACTTGTATATTAGAAAAAGACGAGTCTCCTAACCAATTTGGAAAATTGGTTCCACCATAGAATCTGATGGTTAATTTCTCCAAATTCACGCAAGGCTGGAGCTTGTCGAGTACATCTTTCTCCTTTTGGGAATCATCAGCTTCCTCCGCATCCCATGAAAACTCTACCTCCTTGAGATCTTTCTTGTGCTTCATATTGGCTTGCAGTGCATCCCTCGCATCAACTACATTTTGTAGCTTCAAAATTGATAGTTTTCCTCGAAGCTGCGGGAACTCCCTCAGTTCTCTTATGCTTGACCCTTTAGATTTGCCCACAACAAAAGCAGTCAATGTTCTCAAACTTTTCAGTCTACCCATTTGCACCGGCATCTCTTCAATTTTAGTTCCACTGACATCAAGATGATGCAAATTAATCAACTCCTTCATGCATGCAGGCAATTTAATAAGAGAGCGACAACCTCCCAACATCAATTTCTGTAAATTAATCAATTTTCCAATATCTGCAGGCAGTTCAAGGAGTGAGAAACAATTTGACAATAGTAATGTCTGCAAGTTGTAGAGATTGCAAAGTACCCCAGGTAACCTTTCAATTGCGGTACGAGAAAGATCCAAGTAGCGCAAGTGAATGAGGTTTCCAATAGAATCAGGTAACTCAGTGACATTTTTATAACGTGACAATGATATCACTCGTAAACAACGTAGTGATGGCAACAAATTTTGCATAACCTTTTTACTTACAAAACATGCATATTGATTTAAAGAGAGAGGTAGGAAGGTCCGCATACACTTAGCGCCATATAATGGCTCAAATTTTGGAGCACCATCAAATTGTCCCCTGACATATGACAAATGGCGAACTCTTTCAACTTTATGTGATTCCCTCCGTTCCAATCGAAGGCAAAAACCCCTAGACATGAACATAGCCAAGTCATTAATGAGGTCATGCATTGTGAAACTAGATTCGCTTGACTTTTGAAGTAGTGAACGTGATGATAGCTCATCAAAGTATCTTCTAGCCAATGCTTCCATCCTTTTTCCATTCTCAACTTGTGGAATTATACCTTCTGCAATCCATAATTGAACTATATCTTCCTTTTCAAACTCATAATCCTTTGGAAAAATTGAACAATAAGCAAAGCATTGTTTCAACTGAGCAGGAAGATAATGGTAACTCAACCCTAGAGCCGGAAGAATGTTAGTTGTATCATAGGGTTGGTCCCAAAAACTGTCATTTAGTATTCTATTCCAGTACTCGAAATCCATATTGCAACGTAACAAACCCCCAAGTGTTTGTGCAGCTAAAGGCAACCCTTTGCACTTGAGTGCAATTTTCTTTCCAATGTCTTCCAAGTTTGGATGTGTACTACAGTTTTCATTTCCAAATGCATGTTTTGAAAGTAACAACCAACAGTCCTCATGTGACAGTGGTTCCAAGTATTGAATAGGAACATTTTGCATGACAGATGCTATATTTTTGTTCCGTGTTGTTATGATGACTTTACTTCCCCTTGCTCCTGACGTAAAAGGAGTTTGGAGGAACTTCAAATCAGTATAATCCTCATTCCATAGGTCATCCAATACAAATAAAAATTTCCTTCCCTTCAGTTGTTCTCTTAGTTCAACTTGAAGCAAATTCAAATCTGTCGTATTACAAGGCTTTGAAGTGACTGACTCAAGAAGAGTTTTAGTTATCCTAATAGCATCATAATCTTCTGAAATACAAGCCCAAGCGTGAAATGTAAAATGACCTTTCACCTTATCGTCATTGTAAAGCATTCGGGCAAGGGTTGTCTTGCCAACCCCGCCCATTCCAACAATGGTGAGGACAGACACATCATCCTTGCTTGCATCATCAGATAGCAACACTTTTGAGAAATTTTCTTTGACTTCATCTCTACCAAAGACACAAGGTTCATGAACCAAGGAAGTTGTTGGAGTTCTTCGTGAAACCTTCCGCCCAGCATCTTCTCTCAGACCAAGAGCACTTTTCAGTTGTACGAAGTTTTCTAACCTTGCTTGTAGCTCTTGTATCTTATCATTCATGCTCTGATAAAAATGATTACGAGAAGAAAAGAGCAGGTTCCGCACCTTATTGGTAAATTTTCCAGTTTGATCTTCACCTTCGAACTTGCATCGTAAAGCTTCCGTGTCGATCTCATCCAGTAAGTCCTCTGCATCAAAGACAGCATGTTTGAGCTCGTCGAGCCAATCCCTCACCGCAGGTTTCTTAATTTGCTTCTCCTCTGCGTCATCGAGAACTGCATATAAGGTCAACAGTGTCGTCTTCAGCTTCATGAGGAGTGGCTCATCGAGTTTCTTGTGTCGAAATAAGTCAACGAACTCGGGTGAAGTAATTCTGTTGCACAACACCTGGACGGAAGCAGAGATAAGAGCCTCTCCGATCAAAGCCATGTATTTTCTCTTCTCTGCAGACTGCAAGGGATTTGGATGAAGTAAAATATTCCAAGATTTGCAAGTAGCTAGGCTAGCACAACTTGGAAATACAGGTTTGTAAACAAGTATGGAAGCTTTTTGAGACTGTAAATAACATGAACTTGTAATCTTGGGCTTGGAAAACCCTCTCTCTTTCAAGGACTGTTCCTTCTTTGTTTGTGGCTGAAAACTTTTCTATGGCCTCACATGGGGGGATGAAGTCGGCAAAGTTGGACGCAAAAACTTTTGAGAAATTGTTGGTGGACTTCTTCAAATTACTCGTATGGGGTGGGTGGGACCCACACTGGCAGAAATGGTACGAGACAACTTTTCTCATTTTTTGGTTGGACAAAGATTATGAACTTTCTCAAACTTGGGAATTGTCCTCGCTAACCAAACTTTTCTCATAAAACCAACAAATATTGGTATAGTTCTTAGTATCAGAATCACACAAATTGCAAATCGCAGTTTGCTTCGATCTCTTTAAAGAGAGCGAGATATTCACGAATCAACCTAATATATGCATGGCAAATTGCAAACCGCAGTTTGCTTCTTCTGAATTATAATTTCACCAAGTAGAAAGAAATCTCCAAACCAATGTGGCCTCGCCTCAAGGCTAGGACTACACATCTCAAGAAAAATGAGCCAACTGATGGGCTATGTCCTCCACTCAAGCCTTAATCAATTCTTCCACTCAAGCCTGTCCTCCACTCAACTATCACAATGCAAATTCCAATTTTGAATATTTACAGATGTCATAGTTTGATTGGGTTGGGATTCTTATCTAAGATTCTGACCTGGTATCCCTGATTAGTACATGGGAAGAAGGGCAGGTGAAGAAACTTGCTAATAAATAAAATGAAAGGTGGAGAAGTTGCTAGGCTAGCTGTAGGATAAACTTAGCAATAGCACAACAAAGCATAAAATGAAAAGGAAAAGAGAAACAAAAAAAAGAGAGGAACATATCAATTTGAGCCAATTTTATTGTTAGAATATCAGAATATTCTTTAACAAAATAAATCGTATGGTGAAACCTACACTATTGACCCTCAACGAAACACTAATTTGAGTGAATAACGTTATATTGTCAGTGTATTTTTTTTTTTGTGTGTTCTGGGGCTTTATGGTTTTAGCCTCGTTGATCAAATATTTGGCATCAACATGTTATGTACTTCGTTCTTTCACCTTATAAATATAATTAGCTCCTTGCCACACGCTAATGCGTTTGCCAATTATGACCCACACTGGAAAAAACTGGTACAAGATGTTGGAAATTTTTTTAGCTGATATCAAGTATGACCAACAAATTCCAATTTTGAATAATACACAATTTCAAAAGGAGGACATGCTCATGAAACTCTGCAGTTAATTCAAAGAGAAATAAAATCCAAAAGAAAATGGAGATACATATGTCATTATTTGATTGGTTTTGGTTGGAATACTTATCTGAGATGCTGACTTGGCATCCCTTGTCTTTTTTTTTGGATCGAAGGCATCGCTTGTTGTTAGTACATGGGAATAGAGGTGTCAAACGGGATGGGCCAGCCCAGCACGGCACGAGCCCAGCCCGTTTAAATGAGGCACGGCACGGCACGAGCACGAATATTAGTGGGCCGTGCTCGGCACGGTACGAAAACTTGGACCGGGCTGGGATTTAAAAAAAAGTCCAATGGACCAGGCCGGCCCGTGGCCCGAAATTAAATGGACTTGGCCCGAGCCCGCTTCAAGCACGGCACGAGCCCGAGCCCACGGCACGGCACGGCCCGAGCCCGAGCCCGCTTCAAGCCTCTATTGCATTTTTTTAAGAAAAAAAAAAAGTTGGAATAACAAACCATGCGTGAGGCCATGCGTGAAGTACTTTTCAGTAAACAAACCATGCGTGAAGTACTTTTCAATAACAAACCATGCGTGGTTTCCTCCCCACGCACATATTTTCAGTAGTCTCCTGGCTGGTCAAGTTTTATAACTCCCATGCCTACCTTTTATAGTTCCCAAGTCTGTTTATTGACACAACACAAGCTTCCCCATTATTCTCTTCAAGGCTGAGAGCTCCAGCTCTCCTTCACGTCAGTCTTGTTGACTGCTTTGAAACCCATATCTCCTCAGTTCAAAATGAAATATTTCCTTCCTCAAACTTGTTCATCTGCCTCCTAAGTAGAACATATCGGAAAATTAGCCCAATCGGAGAAATATAAACACCTCAAACCTCAGTTGGAGTACGAACAGCTCATCTCTGTCTGATACTCTGTGTTAAGCACGGATGTCTCTTTGCATGCGAGTTTCTGTTGCGATTTGCATCTCTATTCCTTCATAACAATTGTTTCTGAGGTTGATATCTACAACATATCCAAATTTCAAAGCAAATGGAGATTTCTATCTACCTTAAATTGTGTTCAAGGTGAGACTAGTCTTCACTTTCTCTAATTCTACAGAGTTGGATTTGCAAGGTATTTGAGATTTTTTCTGGAGATTCTGTAATCATAAAGGGAGGTATTTATTTAATTTTTCTGGTTAATGGATCCTCGAGATTATATTGATTTTGGTGAGCATTATGATAATAATTTTGAACATCTTAATCCTGATGACATGCCTAATCATGAAAATAACTTAACCTCTAATGATGTGGAGCAACCTATGCATGCTGTGATGTCTCTTGAATCAAACACTCAAGAAGAAAGCATTGATCAAACTGAGGTTAAAAAAAGAAAAAAAACTTCTGAAGTTTGGAAACATTTTAAAGTTTGTGACCAAAAACTTGATGATGGGACTATTCTTCCAAAGGCTATGTGTATTTATTGCAAGCATACTTTGACTTGTAAAACTGCAAATGGTACTGGGCATCTTCGTAGGCATTTTAATGCATGTCTTAAAAAAAATGGTCATAATCATGCTAAGCAGTCTCAACTATCTGCAAATACTGGAATCTCTTCATTTAAGTACTCTCAAGCTAAAATGAGAGTTGAGTTAGCTAGATTTATTGCATGTGCTGAATTACCCTTTCGTTTTGCTGAAAATCGTTGTTTTGAAAGATTTGTTCAAGTGGCTTTGCAACCAGAATTTAAGAAAGTTTCTCGCAATACTAATAGGGGTGATGTTGTAAAACTTTATGATGAGGAAAAGAAAAAATTATGTCTGTGTCCTACTTTTTTGAGATTTTCCATGTCGCCATGTCGCCGTGTCGCGTTCCCGTGTCCCTGTACCCGTGTCCGTGCAACATAGGATAAGATAGTTTTTGGGCTTTAATTTTTTTCATTGTTTATAATAATTTAGCCTCTAAAAATATCAAAATTAAAAAAAATTAGAATTGAAATTAGCAAAAATACACCTGAAAAATAATTGTACTACCAGACACGTTTTCATTGTTTTTGTTTTCTAAAGATGTTTTCTAATTGATCTACCAGACGCATTTTCATTTCCTGAAAATGTAAATTTGTTTTCTTGTTTTCATTCTCTGAAAATATTCTCAAAAAACATTCTCCGAAAACGTTACCGGGCCTTAACACCCAGCATAAAATGAAAAGGAAATATATCAAATTTAGCTGTAGGATTTTCGTTTTTCATTCCAATTTTGTATATTTTATTACCTTTTTTTTATTTTTCATTTGGGTCGGATCAATAAAATAAGGATATATGGATAAACTTAGCAATTGTCCCTGTTTTTTTTGTGAAAGACTTCATGCTTTTGGGTCGAATGTGACTTTATGCTTGAAGTCATCTCATTTGAAAGCAAATATTCTAAACTGGAATAAAGACGTTGCCTCATAAGACAGGAATTGTTAATTTCACATTCTATACATTATTCTTGAACTCTGAACATGTACGTTATGAATGTACTATGGCAGCTCTGAGATTTTAGGAACATGTACCAAATTAGTAATACAGCATTCTAAAACAAAGTCTTGAACAAAAATATATGAAAAGGATTGGATCATATATAACGTTATGATTCACTCCAATCTATAATGTTTTAATCCCGTAATTACATTTAAATAGTCATATCCATGACAAAACATCCGTTCAACGACTACAAAGGCCAAGGTTATTATCAAGGTCTAAAATATCGATGATATCGGAAATATCGGTAGTCCAAAAATACGGAAATTTCGATGGAAATAACGGGATATTATCGATATCGATAAAAATTGAATAGAAACCACGGAAATTGCAAGAAAAACTTGTCAAGGGAAAAAAAAAATTCAAATTAAATGGGTTGGTTCTTGGGCCCGAGTATGGCACGAGCCCGGCACGGCCCGTTTCAATTTGGACATGGGCTTTGGGTCGGGCTGGGATTTGTGATTTTACTAAATGGGCTGGCACGGCACGGCCCGATAAGTTAAATGGGCCGGCCCGGCACGGCACGAAAATGTTAAAAGCATTTATTGAAACTTTGCAGGATGTTTTTTTAGTCAGTTATCTATTAGTTTATCACAAAAAATTGGAATGAAATACATTACATTATGGATTTACTTATTTAAGTTGATTATATAGCGAGCTGGCAAACACTGTAAGTGTAGAAAATATGTAGTAATTAATGAAAGAAGATTAAACACACCATACTCATTTATATATAATGAATTACTACAATATTTTACACTTTATACATTGCATCAAAGTAGTAGAAACTTGAAAAAGAATGGTCATGTGAAAATTTGTTTCTTGCAAAAAGAATTCAAAACAAAACCATGTATATATATAAATAGTTTAGCATATTTTCATAAAGACATAAGTGATATGGTTGTTAAGGTGTTGAAGGAGTAAAATGGGAGGGGTTCGAATCCCCTTGGTATTTTTTAATATAGAAATTTATCCTAGATTGCAGACATTTTTAAAGATGTTATAAATACTACATGATAATGTTGAAATTATCGATCTCCATTTTTTTTTTTTAAAGTCTCTCGCCACAAATGAATAATTACCACCACAAATGCCCATCCCTAGATTTATCGAGACCTTTATTTCCCTCATTTGTTTTTCCAACTCACGTGGCTCCACTAGAAGGTAAACATTAGTCGATAAAAAAGAACCCGCAGGTAACCGAATTGAGTTTCCAGCGGAAAGACCATCGTGTGCGCTACCAACACTCCAAATTCAGATCGGACGCCACCAACCAAGTCTCAACCTTTCGCTTCTGTCGACGATTCTCGGAATCCCTAAAGTACCCCTGTTTTTCTCCAAAATCTCGCTCCCCTGCACCCTCTGCTTCGCAATTTCCATCTGAGCAAACCCTAGCACCCCTCCCAAATCCTTCTCCGTCTACGCGATGCTGAAGTTTTCGCCGACCACCGTGAGCCAGATTCGCTTTCTCCTCTAAAGCCCCAACGATGCAAACTCTGACTCTGTGCTCCGAGAGCTCTCTCAACCATCGCGAGAATATCGATATTATCGATAATCTCGATAATATCGAGATATTATAACCGTTTTGTGTTGACGTTGCTCGATAATATCGGGATCGATATGTCGGCGACAATTTCCCTCCAAAGCCTCAACGACGCCAACTCAGACTCTGTGCTCCGAGAGCTCTCTCAGGTGCTCCCGATAATATCGATTAAAATATCGATATTATGACGATAATCACTTGGAATTGTACCAAAATATCGCTCCCTCAAAAAACCGATAATATCGGCGAAATATCGCCGATATTATCGACATTTAATACATTGGTTATTATACCTTTTTGTTGTTGTTAAAGGCCAAGGTTTTTATACGTTTTTGTTGTTGTTAAAGTAGAGGTGTCAAACGGGCCATGCCGGGTCGGTCCGTCCCATTTAAACTCGTGCTTTTAACATTTTCGTGCCGTGCCGGGCCGGCCCATTTAACTTATCGGGCCGTGCCGTGCCAGCCCATTTAGTAAAATCATAAATCCCAGCCCGGCCCAAAGCCCATGTCCAAATTGAAACGGGCCGTGCCGGGCTCGTGCCATACTCGGGCCCAAGAACTAACCCATTTAATTTGAATTTTTTTTTTCCCTTGATTTTTTTAAGACATGCATTAAAATGCCTACGAAGATGCCCAGTACCATTTGCAGTTTTACAAGTCAAAGTATGCTTGCAATAAATACACATAGCCTTTGGAAGAATAGTCCCATCATCAAGTTTTTGGTCACAAACTTTAAAATGTTTCCAAACTTCAGAAGTTTTTTTTCTTTTTTTAACCTCAGTTTGATCAATGTTTTCTTCTTGAGTGTTTGATTCAAGAGACATCACAGCATGCATAGGTTGCTCCACATCATTAGAGGTTAAGTTATTTTCATGATTAGGCATGTCATCAGGATTAAGATGTTCAAAATTATTATCATAATGCTCACCAAAATCAATATAATCTTGAGGATCCATTAACCAGAAAAATTAAATAAATACCTCCCTTTATGATTACAGAATCTCCAGAAAAAATCTCAAATACCTTGCAAATCCAACTCTGTAGAATTAGAGAAAGTGAAGACTAGTCTCACCTTGAACACAATTTAAGGTAGATAGAAATCTCCATTTGCTTTGAAATTTGGATATGTTGTAGATATCAACCTCAGAAACAATTGTTATGAAGGAATAGAGATGCAAATCGCAACAGAAACTCGCATGCAAAGAGACATCCGTGCTTAACACAGAGTATCAGACAGAGATGAGCTGTTCGTACTCCAACTGGGGTTTGAGGTGTTTATATTTCTCCGATTGGGCTAATTTTCCGATATGTTCTACTTAGGAGGCAGATGAACAAGTTTGAGGAAGGAAATATTTCATTTTGAGCTGAGGAGATATGGGCTTCGAAGCAGTCAACAAGACTGACGTGAAGGAGAGCTGGAGCTCTCAGCCTTGAAGAGAATAATGGGGAAGCTTGTGTTGTGTCAATAAACAGACTTGGGAACTATAAAAGGTAGGCATGGGAGTTATAAAACTTGACCAGCCAGGAGACTACTGAAAATATGTGCGTGGGGAGGAAACCACGCATGGTTTGTTATTGAAAAGTACTTCACGCATGGTTTGTTTACTGAAAAGTACTTCTCATTTGGTGCAGGGGACTCAGAGAACTACCGGTGAGCTTAAGAAAGTTGGTTAACTTAAAGCATCTTTATATTTGGGAGTGCGGTGATATAAAAGTACCAAAAGAGATTGGAAGACAAAGTCAATTCTCAATTGTACCAAAAGAAGAGTTGCAATATTTTTCATATTCTTAGAATTAATAATGGATACATTGTAAACACAAAATCAAAATGTATAAATTCTGTACATATAAAAGGGTGTTGTTAAACGAATCCTAAAATTAACTGAATACACCTTATGATCTAAGTACACTCTAATATTTAAATCAAAATGTAAAATTAATTAAGTACACCCTATTTAACTACCAAAAATACCCCTGGTACACCCTAATGCACTCTATCACACAACACCCTAATACTAAATACATCATATTTTTCATGAATTGGTGCCCTCTTTTCAAATTTTAGGTTTGCATCAAAATCTTTAATTTCGTAAACTTTAGATACTTTAGTGCCAATTACCAGGGCATTTATGTGCCAAAGGATGATTAATATGTGGTTTCTTTCAATTAAAGAATCCGTAGTTAGTTTGGCATGAAATAGTTGTTTTCTTTTCTCCTGGATGGTGTAAATACAGAAAACTCGCTCCCTCTCTTTCTCCCTCTCTATTTATCGATCTCTATATGTTTATTGCTATCTCTCACACTTGGCTCCTTGTGCAAAATGGACTGGATACAAAGGTGGAAAAGTCAAGGAAGCAACTCAAGGAAAGGAAGAACAGATCCAAAAAGATTCGTGGAGTCCAGAAGGTAAGAAATATTGCTATTGTTTTGTGCTGGTTTGTGTTAGGGAGTATTCTCGCTGCAAGCTCGTGGATTTATTTTATGGAACTATAACATTTTCTCTGCTTTGCAAGGGATTTGGATGGAGTAATATTCCAAGGTTTGCAGAACTTGGAAATACAGGTTCGTATAAGGAAGTATGAAAGCTTTTGGAGATTGTAAATAACATGAACTTGTAATTGAGCTTTGAAAACTCTCTTTCACTTTGAAGGACTGTTCTTTGTGGGACAACTTTTGAATCCTTTTCTGGGCACCGATGTTAATATGCAAAGTTGGATGCATTAATATTGAGCCTAAAATTGGCTTTGTGGTATGAGCCGCACTAATCACATGAATCTGCTAAGATGTAAACATATGAATTAAAGAGTTAATTAATGCACATGGAACTAAAAATACGTCCCCTCTCTAACGTTATAGTTAAACATACACATTCTTAGATATTTAAGATAATGTAAAGTTAACAAAGATAATATCAACCAAAGAAGTTTTATGATCAAAAGTATTGAGTGATAGCCTAGTAAATGCATCAGCGACACTTGTGATTAAATCAAATCAGCACCTAGTTCAAAAGTAACATAAAATGCTTACTTTGTTTGCATATATGCTTTGTCCAAACTGAAATTGACAAACAAAATCTGTAAAATCAAAGCCCACAATTGAAATTGAAACCTCAAACTTCAAATATAAATTAGAAAGACTGTGTTATTCAACAGGAGTAAGACAATGATTAAAGGTGAATCTAAACTTTTAACAATTAATTTCAGATAAGGGGGGTTAATAGACAGACTTGCTGGAAGAAAATATATGAACTTTGTGTAACGTGTGCTTATCTAGTTTCAAATTCTCAGAAATTTCAGCGACAAACTTTCGAATTATATATGAAATATGTGTACTCTTAAATGCACAACGGAACTAAAAGTTCATGATTAGCATTATTGACAGAAGTTTGAAGAGAACGATTCAAAAGGGGTTTATTGACTAAGGGTTGTGAATGATTGACATTTCTGTTTCTTGCATCAATATATGACGAACAAGGATAGAATAGAACTTATCAAATGGTTGCCGCCCTCAGATTTAGATTTGTGGTCATATTCATTTGTTCTTCTTCCTTGAAGAAAGTTGCCATTGATTAGAAGTAAGGTTCTGCCTAAGTTAATCATGTGCATGCTTTATATTATATGAAAGCATGCCTTCAAAATCAGGTCAGCAACTCTGTCTGTCTTATAGCCTTAAGATTTGTGATGGTATGCAGTTTTGTGCAGTGTTTTTCCACGAGTGACAACCAAGAAGAGGAAACTGGATTTAAGATTTGTTTTTGGAAAAATACAATTTTCCTTTTTTCGCCACTGCAATTAAAAAATTATTCGAAGAAAAATGCCTCATGCACACCCAACAAACTTAGTTACCCCAAAAAAAAAAAAGATCAAACTTTAAAACCCTACAGAACAGAAAATAGTGTTACAGCGAGAAATTAATCTAAAGGGCAAGCTATAAAAGTGTAATGTTATTCACACAAGAAACTGATATTTTTAATCCAAACAATGTAGACAAGAAACTCAATCCAAATTCCTCATTGTAATTTGTTACAACAAAAGCGTGTAGTGCTACCATAATGCATTAGAATATTGTTTGATGACAAAGTTAAATTCCTCAAAAAGAAAATGTAAGGGATCACAAATTCCATTTACAGAGCTGGCCTTGCCATAAGTGATTGTTTGGCAGAAACTGGATTTTTACTGGGATTAAATGATGCAGCCTGACAAAAGAACTTAGATGGGCTGTTCTAGAATTGTGAAGACATGTCATTATCTCTCCCCCCAATCAAAATACACCATCTCTTGCATTTGCCAACAAGAACTTTGAGAACAGGCTGCAATAAGAAATAGCACCCATTTCACCATCAATCATCCCTGTTGTGACCTCGACCCATTTCCTTACTGAAGCTTTGCTTCTCAAGTTCATCAGGGATTCAATTGCCAGCTCCGAATATGTTGCCAGTTTTTAACCCGAAAAAAAAAAAACATGTTCTCAGGTGCAACTTGCAACAACAGGGGCATCAGAGGCTTCAAGATCATCTCTGATTTCGTCACCACTCACTTGCAGGTGTTGCAATCTTCAAAATGTTTACAAATCTCTATGTAACTCATGAATGTCCATTGCACTTGATATATCTAGAAAGGTTCATTGACTCAGCAGAGACACTTGAAGGCTGATTTTCTGTCTGAAATGATGATGACTTGAGCGATGCCACGTGTGAACATATTTGGTCTGTTCCTACAAGTCCAAATTAGAATCAACAAATTAATCGTAATAGGAGTCTAAATGAACCTTAGAAAAAGGCGTTTACCGAATTATACAGCTAACCTAATCCTTGTTCAAGTTCAGGAAAGATTTAATTAAGCATCCAACAGAAATGAAGCAAAGGACAATAAATGAAAATAAATTACCCGGAAAAAAACAGTCTATCTCAATTGAGTGTTCAAAACAATAAAAAACCAGTGACATGACAATAATAACCAGTGGATCAACAGACAAAACAGTAATAACACATGGATGATACTTGATGACTTACGATAAGAGGCACTTCCAGCATCCAACAGAACCATGTTTAAGACTCTTTGTGTAGATCAATCTGATAATTTTCCACTGCGCTTAAGATATCTCGAAAAATCCATTTTCAGTCTGAAATGCTGATGATGTGACGCATGCAATGTATGAACCTGCTTAGTCTGATCCTACAAATCCAAATTGAAATTGATGTTAATAGGATTTTAAATGAATAAGCAACGAAAAAGAGTTAATTATTTTACATCTTGCTGACAAATTAATCTATGAACCCTCTCCGCCACACCCCTCTCCTTTCAAATCATCAAAGACCTTTCTATCCCTATCCAACAAAACAACGAAGTAAATTGTCATTACATCACATCTCCCCAAAACCATATAGCCCCAAAAGTTTAAGCTTCACACACAACAATGCATTACAGGATGCAGGGTTAAACCAGCTTATTCTTACCTCCTTAACCAGCCGCAACCATATAGATAAAGCTACGCGATTAGTATAAATTCCTCCATTGTTGAGAAAGAAAGGGATTTTAAAATAGTATGAAATAAGATGGCTCCCATCCGTAGTTTCTTATTCTGTGTGGCTGACTCCTTTAACAGTACAAAAACAATAAGAGAAGAATTAATTACATAATACAATCAAAAGATCCTTGTTGGTTACTTTGTGGGTTTGATCCTCACCTTCCAGCTTGCATCGCAAAGCTTCAGTGTCAATCTCATCCAGTAAGTCCTCTGCATCAAAGACAGCATGCTTGAGCTCGCTAAGCCACTCTCTCACAGCAGGGTTCACAATTTGCTTCTCCTCTGCATCATGGAGCACAGCGAACAAAGTCAACAGTGTCGTCTTCAGGTTCATGAGGAGTGGTTCATCGAGTTTCTTCTGCTGACATAAGTCGATAAACTTGGGTGAAGTAACTCTGTCACACAACACCTCGAATGAAGTAGAGATGAGAGCCTCTCTGATCAAAGCTGCTGCCATTTTTCTCTGCTTTGGAAGGGATTTGGATGAAGTGATATTCCAAGGTTTGCAGAACTTGGAAATACAGGTTTGTTAGCAAGTATGAAAGCTTTTTGATATTGAGCTTTGAAAACTCTCTTTCACTTTGAAGGACTGTTCTTTGTGGGACAACTTTTGAAACCTTTTCTGTGCACTCAAATGGTGGAACTGTGGCCACCGATGTTAATATGCAAAGTTGGACGCAATAATACTGCGTACACTGGCCAAAATGGTATAATTTGCTATCAACTTTTTTTTCTTTTTATTTTTGGTCGGACAAAGATGCTGTCATATATCACCAGCAAATTCCAATTTTGAATATTAGCAGAATTTGAAAAGGACTTAATGCTCATGGAGCTATTATAATTGTGGCTGAAAAAATGGTGTAATAGTGGGGCTGAAGTGGAAGAACAAGGGATGAGCAAAGCAGGGGAGAGGAAGATGCTCTCAATTTTATTTTATTTTTCATCTTTATTTGATCATAGTTAGATGACTACACAAATTCCAACTAGTAGCAAGCACCATATTAAATCATTAACAGCATATACAATATATAAATTTTTTTTCTCTCATATTAAATCATTAACAGCATATAATATATCAAATTTCTCAAGAATAAAATACTAAAATACCTGATTTTCTTGAACTTGAAGTGCAGCACCCTTTATTTCAAATAATTGCAGACCACACTGCTTAAGACAAAGAAAGCATACCATTTCTCTTTATCGAATCAGCACACAGAAAATGGTTGCTGTGTATCACTTGAGGCCTCTCTCTCCACTTGCCCAAGATTGACAAACTATAAACAATGTAAGAATGAGAAATTTAAGGAGATGCAAGCTTTCCCAGTTATTACTGATATTTAAAAATAAAAACAAAAAGTTTGAAGAGCAAAGTTACTTGATGATGACTTTCTTACCTCTTTGCAGAGTCTTTGATCCTACAAAATAATTGCAACACAGCCACTTATAAGAAGCATTTCTACCCTCCAGTAGAAAATTTCGAACACAAAAATGTTTACAAATCTTTATGTAACTCATCAATTTCTGTTACACTTGAGATATCTAGAAAGGTTCATTGACTCAGCAGACAATTGAAGGCTGATTTTCTGTCCCAAATGATGACGACTTGAGCGATGCCACGTATGAACATGTTTGGTCTGTTCCTACAAGTCCAAATTAGAATCAACAAATTAATTGTAATAGGAGTATATTTTATAATTTTGGTGATAATAGATTCTAAATGAGGTTTTAATCAATTTAGACAGCTGTGTAAATAAAACCGCAAATTATACAGCTAACCTAAGCCTTGTTCAAGTCCAGGACAGATTTAATTAAGAATCCAAACAGAAATGAAGCAAAGGAAAGGAAATGAAAATAAATAACCCCGACAAAACAGTCTATCTCAATTGAGTGTTCAAAACAACAAATAACTAGTGTCATCTACAGAAATGAAGCAATGGACAGGCAATGGACCAGAAGATTAGTATAAATTCCTCCATTGTTGAAAAAGAAACGGATGAATGATCACTTTTGAAAAATTGTATGCTCTAAGAGGCCTCCTTTTTTTATTTTGTGTGGCTGACTCCTTTTAACAGTACAAAAACAATAAGAGAAATAATTATTTACATAATACAGTCATACAGGTCCCAGCTGATATATGCAAACTACTATTAATCTAAAGAGTCATATAAAAGCAACCAATACGCTTTGGATCACATTTTCCATTCATGTCTCAATTCCTTACACCACAAGGATAAGTTTCCCGCATGAATCTTTTCAGTTGAACAAAACCTTGTGGTATGTGTGTAAATTGCAGTCTATACTGATTCTTATATTTAGAAAGTACGAAGACCAACAAATAGGCGAACTATCTTACAAATGCAAAACATGTCTCAGGGGTGTGTTACATTAATTTTGTGCACTAGAGATGATGCATATATTTTTCAAATATCCAATTTCTGGAGGTTGAAAAACAAAAAATTGGCAAGTTTGATTCAGAAATTAATCTGCAAGTTTGATTATCAGAAATTTAAATTCTTTATTGTTATTAAACAGTTATGATGGTGATGAGGCAAAAGAATGAAACGAAAAACAAATGTTAGAAAGTAAACCTCCAGACCACCTGAAAGATCTAACTGTGACTTTCCATTTGTCAAGCGATGTTTGTGATCGGAATTACAAGAGCATAACACATCTACACAAGCTTCAAGATGGTAACAGAATAAAAAGGATGAGACAACGTGCCAATGGCGAAGGAAATGCGGAAGCAAGTTTGTGCCATGCCACCTATGTCAAAAAGTAGGCTTCTGCAGTTCAAGATAAGAAAACCTGCTTTCATTAGAGGAAACAAAAACATTACAAAACAGGGGACAAGTTATCTACTGGATAAGCTAGACTACTCAACTAACACCGCAAATTGAAGATTAAACATCCTAACATTACAGGAACGAAATATAAAATACAGCAGCACTCCACTAGGAACATAAAAGAAATCTAAAAACAGTGTGGTTGAAGACTGACTGCGACATTAACATATAAAAGCATTCATTTCCTGTCTTATAAAAGCATTTTTTTTCTTATGTCTAATAAAAAACCAAGGCTTAACAAAGAAAATGAGAGGGATGACAAACAGAGCTGAAACAAGCTTAATTCACTAAGAAGATTTTGTAATTCCTCAATGATCTCTCTCCTCCACCTAAGACCACCTGTTGATACTAAGACAATATACATGCATTACCTGGGAAAGTACAACTGAAGCTCACCTGTTGAACCCTAAACCCCAATAATATACTGTGAGTTTAATCTTACAACTTAAGCTCACAGGTTATCCATAGACATTTAATACAATTTAAACTAGCTCAAATGAGACTCAAGTACATTTTTATTACGAAAATAGTACCTCAAAATGTTTTGCATTCAATGCCTGTATTTGGGAATGTGTCAGTTGAGATATTCCAGGTGAACCTTTCCATTTCTCCATGTTGCGACAATTGTTCCGTAGAAAAACAAAGAGCTATATTAAATAGTAAACCCTCCTCTGGAAATGACACATAAAGAAACCTTGCAAATGAATAGCTCTCCAAGAGAAGATATGTTGTCCTGCGAAAAGACTGCTAAATTATTCAGCATTTGAGATTTAAATAGGATATAAGTTGTGATCAGCAGAACAGGCGCAATGAGAAATAAAGCAAATTTAACCAGAATTTACTGGGCAAAATAACAATAGAAATCAGATTGAGTGTTTGTGTTAAGTATTTTGTATGTGAGCGAGAGGGAGAGAGAGCTCATATCATATGATCACTTCTTCGCCTATCTTGATGCAAGGAATGTGAGATACCTTTTCTACAAGGCAAAACAATGGTCGATGCACAGATAAGAAAGAGATGGCAGCAAACGCTCTTCTGGCAGGAATTGGATACTGTCACACCCACAAATATGTAGCCTTTGCAGCGAAGAGAAGCGTTCAAGTTCCTCTCCTGGCAGGAATTATAGACTGACAGGCTGTAATATATAGAGTGCGAAGAGTGGTATTGAGCCACTGTTCCTTGAGAAACGTCCACAAGATATTGCCACCAAGTCCTTGCAAGCCCCAGTAATCTCCCACCAAAGGGCTTAGTCTGTCACAATTCAAAATATGAAAATATTGCAGGTTGGGAGGCAAATGACACAAGATTTTGAAGATCATATATCCCCAAATGTTGAAGGCTGTGAGGGTGCCAATGTGTTTAGGCAATGAATTCATTCTGGCATCTACTGACTGTGACAAAAGTAGGCTTCCGCAGTTCAGAATAAGCAATAAGTATCGATGAAAACTTTGTTTTGATAAGAAACGTGCTTTCATTACAAGAGAAATAAAAACAATACAAAACAGGGGACAAGTTATCTACTGGATTAGCTAGACTACTCAACTGCCACCACAGATCAGAGATTAAACATCCTAACATTACATGAACGAAATCTAAAATACAGCAGCAGTCGAATCACAACATAAATGAAATCTAAACACAGAGTGTGGAATAAGACTGAGACGTTAACATATAAATGCAATCATTTTTTGCCCTACTAAAATGCATATATTTATTTATTTATTTTTTTGCGATGTCTAACAAATTCTCAGTTGCTGTGAAATGCAGGGACAAAGGTAAATCATAACCTAGAACAACAAAACTTAACAAACAAAAGGAGAGAGGTGATAAACAACCTATTGATACTAGGACGACATATATCAGGCCACAACATTAATAACATACCCACAGTACCTGGGAAAGTCCAAGGATTACTTAATGGCATGAACCTATTAACAGACTATCCATAGGCATTAAATTCAATTTAAACTAGCTCAAATGAGACTCAAATACATTTTTTTTTTCATATAAAAGTACCTAAAAATGGTGTACATTTGATGCCTATATGCAGGGAATGTATCAACGGAGATATTCCAGGTAAATCTTTTCTGTTTCTCCTTGCTCTGATAATTGTTTTATAGAAAAACAAAGAGCTATATACAATAGTAAGAGAAGGCACATACTTGACCTGATGACTTTGATTTGGGAGTTGAGGGTTGAGAGTGAAATATGGAATAGCTCATATTATATGATCACTTCGTTGCCTATCTGGATGCAAGGAATGTGAGATATCTTGGCCCCATCTTGTCCCGTCTTATTCTTATACCTTTCCTTCAGGGCAGGGCAACCTTCGATACACAGATAAGTAAGAGATGGCGGCAAACCCTCTTCTTGCAGGCATTGGAGACTGGGACAACAAAAGATACTTAGAGTTTGAAGAGAAGTGAGGTGTTGAAGTTCCTCTCCTGGCAGGAATTGGAGACTGGGACAGAACATAATACGTAGCTCTTGAAGAGAAGTGAGGTGTTGAAGTTCCTCTCCTGGCAGGAATTCCAGACTTGGACAGAATCCAATTTTTAGCGCTTGAAGAGAAGTGAGGTGTCCAAGGCCCTTTCCGTCCAAAGATTTCAGAGTTGATAGAGAATAGATGCTGAGAGTGTGAAGAGTGGTAGGGAGCAGCTGTTCCTTGAGCAACGTCTCCAAGACATGGTCACTTCCACTGATAAGAAAGTGTTCAAGGGAGACAAGTGCTTGCAAACCCCAGTACTCTCCCACTGATGAAGCCCTCAGTCTCTCACAATTCGTAATATGAAATAGTCGGAGGTTGGGAGGCAAACCCCCATCTTCTGCAAATGACTCCAGATTCGGAAGACTACTTATCGACAAAGATCGAAGGGCTGTGAGGGTGTGTAGGCGTCCGGGCAATGACTTCAAAGTCTCGCATTCAGCAACTACAAAGTCACTCAGGTTGGGAGTGGGCAATTCTCCCTCGTGAAAACACACCATTTTTGGACATTTATAGACACGCAAGTGATTGAGATGGCTGAGATTCTCAACAGCTCCTTCTTCTTCAATCAAAAAAAGGGATTCCAGATTCTCACAACCATCAATGTCAAGCACCGTCAATTTGGGAAAAATGCCCAACGGGAAGGACCTCATTGAATCACAGCTATTACATATACGCAAATAGTCAAGCGATGTTAATTTGGCCAACATCTCAAGAGGTAGGAATTCTAATCTCCTACAATATTCTAAAGTAAGCGATGTCAATGTAGTGGGTAGGCCATCTTTAGGGAACGACGACAGCGTTGGACAATTCTTCAGAGTCAAAAGTTGAAGACAATTGCAGTTGGGCAAGCACTGTACGTCAACAACATTTCGAATCGCAAGTTGGGACAGGAGCTTTGTCTCTAATAATGATAACAGGGTTTGGCATCCACCACTTATTTTCAATTCTTCAAGAGATTTATAGTTAAGACTATTGGTAGTTGTGGTAGTGGCCCTTCCATCATGTAAAACCTCACACCCAGACACCGTAAGCTTCTTCAACCAAGGCAGCTCACAAGGCAAACTTCCTCTCAGCTTCGGACACTTGTTTAGAATCAGCTCTTGTAGACAAGGAAAATCTAGACCATATTCACCTCCACTTGCACTTCCACTTGGAACCCATTCCTCCCACTCTGGCATCTCCCTAAACTCTAGCTTCTCCAGAGATTGAAATGGCTGAGTCAGATTAGCTCCATTTCTGCCATAGAATTCAATGCCAATCATCTTCACAAACTTCATTCTTTCTATACAGAGCTCTTTGAGTGCCGGTAGCCGCCCAACTGGTGGGAGTGACCAACAATAACTACAGTCACTGAGATGCATGACTTGTATGTTAGAAAAAGACGAGTCTCCTAACCAATTCGGAAAATTGGTTCCACCATAGAATCTGATGGTTAATTTCTCCAAATTCACACAAGGCTGGAGCTTGTCGAGTACATCTTTCTCCTTTTGGGAATCATCAGCATCCTCTGCACCCCATGAAAACTCTAACTCCTTGAGATCTTTCTTGTGCTTCATATTGGCGTGCAGTGCATCCCTCGCATCAACTACATTTTGTAGCTTTAAAATTGAAAGTTTTCCTCGAAGGTGCGGGAACTCCCTCAATTCTCTTATGCCTGACCTAGTAGATTTGCCCACAACAAATGCAGTCAATGTTCTCAAACTTTTCAGTCTACCCATTTGCACTGGCATCTCTTCAATTTTAGTTCCACTGACATCAAGATGATGCAAATTAGTCAACTCCTTCATGCATGCAGGCAATTTATTAAGAGAACTACAACCTCCCAATGTCAATATCTGTAAATTAATCAATTTTCTAATGTCTGCAGGCAATTCAAGGAGTGAAGAACAATTTGACAATAGTAATGTTTGCAAGTTGTAGAGATTGCAAAGTACCCCAGGTAACCTTTCAATTGCGGTATGGGAAAGATCCAAGTAGCGCAAGTGAATGAGGTTTGCAAAAGAATCGGGTAACTCAGTGACATTTTGATAATGTGATAATGATAACACTCGTAAACATCTTAATGATGGCAACAAATCTTGTAGAACTTTTTTACTTACAAATTTTTTTTCCCAATATATATATGGATTTAAAGAGGTAGGTAGGAAGGTCCGCAAACATTTAGCCTCATATAATGGTTCAAATCTTGGAGCAGCATCAAATTTTCCCCTAGCATATGACAAATGACGAGCTCTTTTAACTTCATGGGATACCCCATCTTCGAGCCTAAGGCAAAACCCCTGAGACATGAACATAGCCAAGTCATTAATGAGATCATGCATAATGAAGTTGAATTTCCCTGACTTTTGAAACAACGATCGTGATAACAGCTCATCAAAGTATCTTCTAGCCAATGCTTCCATCCTTTTTCCATTCTCAGCTTTTGGAATTATACCTTCTGCAATCCAGAATTGAACTATATCTTCCTTTTCAATCTCATAATCCTTTGGAAAAATTGAACAATAAGTAAAGCATCGTTTCAACTGAGTAGGAAGATAATGGTAACTCAACCCTAGAGCCGGAAGAATGTTAGTTGTATCATATGGTTGGTCCCAAAAACCGTCATTTAGTATTCTATTCCAGTACTCGAAATCTATATTGCAATGTAACAAACCCCCAAGTGTTTGTGCAGCTAAAGGCAACCCTTTGCACTTGAGTGCAATTTGCTTTCCAATGTCTTCCAAGTTTGAATGTGCACTACACTTTTCATTTCCAAATGCATGTTTTGCAAGTAATAACCAGCAGTCCTCCTGTGACAATGGTTCTAAGTATTGAATATGAACATTTTGCATGACAGATACTGCATTTTTGTTCCGTGTTGTTACAATGACTTTACTTCCCCTTGTTCCTAAAGTAATAAAAAGAGCTCTAAGGTAGTTCAAATCCTCATTATTGTCATTCCATAGGTCATCCAACACAAATAAAAATTTCCTTCCCCTCAGTTGCTCTCTTAGATCTTCTTGAAGCAAATTCAGATTTGCCGTGTTACAGGGCTTTGAAGTGACTGCCTCAAGGAGAGTTTTAGTAATTTTAATATAATCATCGTAGTCTGACACACAAGCCCAAGCTTTAAGTGTAAAATGCCCTTTCACCTTATCGTCATTGTAAAGCATTCGAGCAAGGGTTGTTGTTCGGTTCATTTTTACACATGATTTTTCATGTTATTCACCCACTATTTTGAGTTAGTTCTTGACATTTTATAGCTTTTTACTTCCTTTTTGTGTTTTCTTAGATTTTGCCTTGGTTGGGATGAAAATGAGCTAAAAGTGCATTATTAGTTATAAATTCTGTTTTTGTTCATTTTCGTAGGTCAACTTCTTGGCCTGGGATCAACATGCTCTGTTGCTCGGATGAGGTCATGATCTTCATGAGACTTGTTCCAATGGATGTTAACTACAACATATCCAAATTTGAGCTTCATTGGACAAGTATTGCCTATCCAACCAATCCATCATGTTACCACAGTTCTGGAAATCCGGATTTGGCCAGCTTTTACCTCCCTTGTGTCATCTTAACTTCTTGTTACCATAACTCTTGGTAACAAGGAATTACATTTGTAAAATAGATATTTTCTGAGCTTTTGGCATCTTTGTGAAGTCAAAGCTCCATCATGGCAAGGGGACAATGGGCTAAGGCTTTATAAAAGGTGGTAGTTTTATATTAAAAGGTAAAAGCTGGAAAGGAGGAGAGAGGGAGGAGAAGTCAAAATTGCAATCTGATATTGGAGCCTTTTGAACGTGGAAAAGAAAGTCATTGAAGGGATTACACAGAGGAGAGCAGATTTTGGAGAGCTTGGAGCTTGGAGAAGGCCAAGGTGCAGCCAAGCTAAGTGGAGAAGAAAGCTTCCACTGTTTAAGTGAGCATCATGTGAATTGGTTTCTTGACATCAATTGATGAATTCCAATTCACCAAATTAATCTATCCTTGATGTGTGTTTTCCTTGATTGATTACCTTTGAAAGCATGCTTCTTGAGGTTGTTGGGATTATGTGTATCTTTATGTTTTCCTAAGCAATAGATGGATGGAGTAAGAACCATCCATGTGCCTTGGTTTCTTGAATACCTAATGTAAACACCATGCTATTATATGTTCATATTCTCTTTGAACTTAATGGGTTTTCCTTGCAATCGAATCGAAGTACGAACCATACCTAGGTTCGGTTATGAGGAGGGCACAAGTATTGTAGCACGAACCATGCACTTTACGTATATTAGAGAGAATCAATGCGTCTTGAGCCACGACCCATGGTCTTGATTGCGAACATCTTCATCAATACATTTAGAGTTCATCACTTGAGTCTCCATGAACATGGGTAGAATTGTTTAGGGTGGATTCCGAAACCCTAGTGTTTGTTACATTTTAATTTCACATTTTGATAATTCATCTCTGCCATTCACATTTAAATTCAAAGTTCATTTACTTTCATGCAATAGAAATAGGTCACTTGAACCAAATCAAAAAACCCCCCCAATGTGTGTGTGAGTTGCGTGTTTGACACGTTTTGTGTCTTTGTCACTGAATTTTGTTTGTTTCGGTAATTGTTTTGGACTTTTGGTCCGCGTTGTGTTCTTGCATTTTTTGTGCTGATTCCAACCGTATAAAGAACGTGAATTTTGGATAAACGGTTGGAAAGTTATAGGTCAAAAACTGGACAGAGGTCGAAACTGAAAAACAGAGAAACGAATCTGTCCAAATGGTGATAAACGGGTGATAGAAAGTGCTGTTTGTGTTTTTCTTTGTTTTCTTGTGTTGTTTCATTTCTTTTATCTTCCTTACTTCATTTTTAGTTTCCAATTTGTATTGTGTTTGTGTGTTGTGTAAAATTAGTGTTCTTTACGTACTCAAATTAGAACTTATAGGAAACCGACAAGTTCTTCGTGGGATCGACCCCGTACTTACATAATCTATACTTCATTAGATTCGTGCACTTGCGGGTATTTTTAATTGGTTGTTTGCACATTAATTTGTGTCCTTTTAGGAATGCAACAGTTGTCTTGCCAACCCCACCCATTCCAACAATGGTGAGGAAAGACACAGCATCCTTGCCTGCATCATTAGATAGCAACACTTTTGATAACTTTTCTTTGACTTCATCCCTACCATATACATAAGGTTCAAGAACCAAGGAGGTTGTTTGAGTTCTTTGCGAAACCTTCCTCCCAGCAACTTCTCCCAGACCAAGAGCACTTTTCAGTTGTACAAAGTTTTCTAACCTTGCTAGTAACTCTTGTATCTTATCATTCATGCTCTTATAAAAATGATTACGAGAAGAAAAGAGCAAGTTCCGCACCTTATTGGTAAATTTTCCAGTTTGATCTTCACCTTCGAACTTGCATCGTAAAGCTTCCGTGTCGATCTCATCCAGTAAGTCCTCTGCATCAAAGACAGCATGTTTGAGCTCGTCGAGCCAATTCCTCACAGCAGGTTTCTTAATTTGCTTCTCCTCTGCGTCATCGAGAACTGCATATAAGGTCAACAGTGTCGTCTTCAGCTTCATGAGGAGTGGCTCATTGAGTTTCTTGTGCCGAAATAAGTCAACGAACTCGGGTGAAGTAATTCTGTTGCACAACACCTGGACGGAAGCAGAGATAAGAGCCTCTCCGATCAAAGCCATGTCTTTTCTCTTCTCTGCAGACTGCAAGGGATTTGGATGAAGTAAAATATTCCAAGATTTGCAAGTAGCTAGGCTGGCAGAACTTGGAAATACAGGTTTGGAAACAAGCATGGAAGCTTTTTGAGACTGTAGATAACATGAACTTGTAATCTTGGCCTTGGAAAACGCTCTCTCTTTCAGGGACTGTTCCTTCTTTGTTTGTGGTTGTAAACTTTTCTATGGCCTCACATGGGGATGGGGTCGGCAAAGTTGGACGCAAAAGCTTTTGAGAAATTGTCGTATGGGTTGGGCGGGACCCACACTGGCAGAAATGGTACAAGACAACTTTGTTTGAAAAACAGAAAATTAAAATAAAAACTATTAAAGGCAGCATACTTATTGCTTGTGGGCCGTTCAGATATAGGTTTGTAATTGTATTACATTTTCTTCAAAACTTACCTATACAGCCCGTCACAGCCTTTATTGTGGTTTCGCCCTTGACCTTTGCTTCTCCTAGCAGTAGCCCTGTTTGATCGACCAGAGAGTTGCAGTTGAAGTTTCATACTAGAGTTGACGACCCCTGTATGAAATGGCTTGCTAAGGGTTTCAGTTCCAATTGCCCAAAACCAAACCAACCAGTCGACACAATGGAGGACCTCGCAAATGCATTCTCTGTACTGGAGCTTGACGCTGAAGACGACGATCAAGCGCGAGAGGCCACTTCTGTTTCCAAAAACAAAGATGACACTACAAAATCTTCAGGTTAATTCGTTTTCCATAGTTACTGTAAGTGCCGGGGTTAGGGTTTAGGGTTTAGGCATTTCTGAAAGCCATTGCTTATCTGAAATGCTAGCTTATGCTAAATGCAACTCCTTTTCTCTATCTTCTAAGAGTTGCTTTTGATTATTCAGCCCCAAAATTGTGAACAAGTTGGAGAAAAGCTTAACGCTTTTTTTAGTTTTCTGGATTGGTTGTGTATAAGATTAAGCTTCCTGAACTTACTGGTTACTAGTGAAGATTCCTGAACTTATTTGGCTGTGTATTTCTAGGGGTATTGATTGAGCCAAATGGGAAGGATTTCTAGGCCTACGGATTGAGCTGATTCAGCTAATTTCTGGGGGCCCCTAGGATATTTTATTGACTTTTATATTATTTATTTATTTATATTCATGGATGTTATATACTTACATATACAACTCAATTGAAGATGTCCCATAGCCAACAAAGTTCTTATTTTTGAATAGGTCTGTTTTTGGAAGCCTTTTCTCGCTGTTGTTGGTTGTGAGGTTTTGTTTTGTTTTGTTTGACGATGGTGTTGTACAGTGGATATCTTGTCCACTGCATCTTTTATTTTCATTTAGCTGTAGTAAAAGTTTGTTTCTCACGATGAAAATTCATAATTTTTTCTTAATATTTTCTTTAAATGGTAGCCATGTTCATCATAGACTATAAACTGGGTATTTATTTAACCATATATGGTTTACTCTAGGTTAACTATTGGTTGATAATCTAGCTGGGGTGATTGAAGTATATGAATATCTTCATACTAATGATTTATCTTTGAGACAGGCAAGAAGACGGAGAAGAAAGTCAACA